CTTTGAGAAATGTTTTTGCCAACTAGCCTCGCCTAGACCTACCAATTCAGTCATCATCACCATCAACAGCAACGTAGAACTTTGCACGTAAGTAAAGCAGTTCAAGTTGACATACCACCTTAGCACAGATATAATTGTCAATTCAAATCCCATGGTACTACTAGGTAGTAATATATTAGAAGTAAACGGAGAGATTAGGATTCAAAGATGTTATTCAAGAAATGTAATTCAATGAAGTAAATTTATAAAGAGAATGATAGAGGCGCCAACACTTCACAGGATTACTTAGTAACAACCGGTAGACTTTTAAAAAACAATGAATCGAATTTTTCATTATTATGATCAATTCATGTAAATATATAATTCGGATTTTATCTATCCAATTATGGATTTACAACCCAGAGATTGGCTAAAAAGAACACGCAAATAACAGTCATATCGTAGGAAAAGCTGGTAGCATGAGTGGAAAATTGAGACACTAAATCTGACAGTGCACTCATTACAACCTATGAAAACTGAGGAATATTTAGATCAAACAAAGTAACATCCACATTCACTTAGGAAAGCATATTAATGTGACAATAAATTGTCAAAAGAAAATCAATGAATAAACCAACATACACTGGAAAGACTAAGTCAAATATCTACTATTCAAAAAGTATAATACAAGTGCAGAACCACACGATGATTTTAACATCTTCCTCACATAAGTTGATTGAGAAGAAATGCATTGATATATGGTGATACCAACTACATAAGAAAAATATACCAAAGTACTGCTTACTTAACAGAATTACCCCTGATATTAAAAGATTTACGGAAACTAGCAATTGCACGGCTAGGGATAGTTGGGATATTTTCTGTCTTCCAATCGATTTTGATGTTGTTCCTGAAAATGTACTCCAATTTTTCTTTTAAAATCCGTTCCATTTGGTCTTTTTCCTCACTAGTATCAATGCTACAAAACGCTCGTTGAACGTACTCCCTGTAAGAATTTTGAAGAGTAACACATTGATAAAAAGTAAAAACTGTAGATCGCTGAAGAAAAAAACCTTTAAGACACCAGTAGAATTTGAGAGAACGCAAAAAGTGGATGCACCTGAGCCATTGCAAGCAATTCTGAGCCATATCGTTCAAGGTCTCTAACCATCAGAGACTTTCGTCTCGTGGATCCAACCAGGTAGCCTACATCTACCAACATGACTCAGTCTAATTGTCAGTGACTTCATGAATTTCTGCCATGTCTTGGTTTGGGTGAAGTAGTCCTGAAACTACATATGTCAATTTATTACTGGCTGGGTGAACTGCCGAATGGTTCAATATCAAGTAGTAAGGTGTAGTCGAGATTACCCATAGTTTTGTGCCTATTATTTTACCTGTGGTGGTGAAATACCACCATTCAACTGAAATATAACAAGGTAGCCAAAGACTATTTATGACTGATAGCAACTAGCGTTTCAAAGACTTATCCAAAAAAGAAATCTGTATGTTCACTCCGTCAGTGAATGCTCTAGGGTGTCGAAGAATTGATGCTAAACAATTAATTATACTGATATATGAAAAAGTTAATTACTGAAGATTTTCGCAGAAATTCTTAAACGTTGACTTACTTGAGTTCGTCGCTCCACTGCTCTTTTGCTCCTTTATCTTGGAAACTAGCAGGAGGTTGCTGTAAAGCTTCTTTTGAAATTGGAGTATTTGCGGTATTTTCATTATTCAGTGGTTTCGGAGAATCTGCATAAATGAAGTTAGTTTCTGTAAATACATTGGAAAATAACACCCACAAAACCAATTGCACTAATTTACTAATATGCTATCAGGAGTTCAAAACCTCGGCATGTAAGGTTTGTCAACGTATATTTGGCTCCTATAGCAATTAATGATCGCGAATCAGCTATTAGGGAAGTGAATGACCAGTAAATGTGACCTACTGTTCCCCACTGCATCACGGCTAATATAGTCGCAGGTTGGGAGACCAGGGTCAGAGTGAAACGTCGGGTGACCCAAGTCAAACACCAAGTGGCACAAACGCATCGCAATTTCTAATGTTCTTTATCATAATTGACACTATGGCTACTATTTAAATCACTTGATTACTCATGTCACTCCTTTTGAATTTCCATGTGAAAACTTGATTTACGATCCTAATATACAAAAGGTATGTTTATCTACATGGCTTCGTCAGTCAAATTAATGTTATGATGCAATCCCGAATACTTCCTTTTTTGCACGGATTTTAACCCGATTTAGCTGTTCATACTGAAAGACCACAAATGTGAATCAAAAACTAATCTCATCTGACAAAATAGGGCAATAAACAACTACGTCCACCCAGGAGAAACTGTAGTCCTCAACTAAACATGCACACTAACCACCAGGACCAAACCTTACTAAATAATAAAGCTCAGTGGTTATTTACTGGTTCACATACTGATTTGGTTTACCATCATTATTTTAGCGATTCTAAGTTGAACAAACTGAAGTGGATTCAGTTAATTTCAACCGGCGAACGACAATAGTAACATAAATTTAAGTATGTAACAGTTTTGTTAGATACGAAACTGACATTACAAGGGGGAGCTCCAAAGTGGAACCCAATGGTTGCAAGATTTTATTACTAACTTTTACTTCGACCTAAAGATTGGAAATTCAATAACCATGTTACATCAGGTCGTCTCAGGATAAATGGAGCATATAGTAAACAGCTTGAATCCAACATGCATACATACTTCTTACCTAAAGTACTCTGCAATGGAAACTGTGGACCTGTCACTGCCAAACCGTTGGGATGAACAGATGGTCTTCCGTCTGACCACATACCAAACGACTGAGCTGCACTTCCGTTAGCCGGATAACCATAAGTAGGTTTAGCCGTGTACCAGTTACACCCTAATTGACTTTGTGTGTGTAGTGGGAACTGTGGAGAACCGTATGAAGGATAAGAGACGTTTGAGATCATAGGCCTCTGCGGACCTAAGTCGAACATGACTGGTTGACGAGGTGGGATCGCTGGTGAATAAGGGTAGGCATAAGGGAAGTTCTGAGAATGAAATGGAGTCGAAGTACACCACGATGGATCATAGGTTGGAGAAATGGAGCTTGTCACAGTTACGGTCCCATCTATCTTGGAAGCAGTGGATTCTACTCCAGGTGGAGGAGGTGTGGAGGGTTTCTCCTGTACTGATGTAGCTGGAATAGTTTGATGATTATAATCATATGTCTGCAGCAGTTAACAAGTAATGAAATAACTAACCTGGGCGGGTTGCGTATGGTCATAATATCCTGGATAAGTACCTTGCCAATAAGAATTGTATGAACCCCATTGAGCCATTTTGCTTTCCTATATAAGTTGTCAGAAGAAATGATGCTGAGTTTAAGGAATGAAAATTAAGATCTTTCGACTTTATATTTACACGTTTTCAATAAACTGTGATTTTAATCCGACACAACTGGTTTGAACAATTATTTATTGGATTATAAGGTCAGTAAATTTGATTATCTGCCAATTTCTGATACATCACATTTTTATACACTCGAAAAGAGAACACCAGTTGGCTATTACATTTAGCACTTAATAAACTGAGTTCCAGAACTATTACACATAGTTAACTGTCTGATACTCTCCTCTTCCTAATTTTAAAAGGATTGGATCTTAATGTTCTCAGCTGTTAGTTTCTTTTGTGGCGAGGTGAGGTGATTCTGAGTTGTTTTGCGTTGTGATCAAAAGCAGCCAAAACAGAGTTAAAGATTGCACAAGCTCTGAGGATCGTATCTATGTCCTACTACTTAACATAATCGTGATACAATTCCAAAGGAATGGAATTGTTTACTCCGCTAACATTGAAGGTTACAGATACTAAACTGCTGCCTAGAGTGAAGATGGAAATAAGCTCAAGCCATGAGTCCAACTGGTGTTCGAACTATTAAATCACCAGCACATGTAAATCATGAACCTGCAGTGGTAGCAGACACAATTTTATGATTTAATATAATCTCCCTCAAACGTTTCTGTGCCAAACTACTGTGAAGATACTACAAAATTTAAACGGTGGTTAGGAATTTAGATGTTTATATCGACTATGTAGATGTAAGACGATAACTGTCTCCTTAACATTTACATCTAATTTGGTCAGCATGAGGGTGTTGGCTTCAAATGGTCAACAAACAGACGACTCCGACATATTCTCAGGGATGTACTTACTAACAAAAATCGGAACTTGAAGCGTGCGACTAGTCAGAAACTGTTGTTTTGTTATATAGTAAAATCTTTGAAGCACTTTGAAGCGATTAACTCTGTATATACTGAAGGTTAACGGCTAGCCTGAGTAACCCCCGACAAACTAGAAAATCAAAAGGGAGTTTACCGCAAACAGTCCAGCTTCTTGTAAATGGAATAAATTGAGTTACTTTAATCAGCTTAAGAAACGAAACAGCCGGCGCTGAACGCAATTACTACAATAACCTTCTAAAACCAATGAGTCAGAAACTATAAATATCACCTTCATAGCAAAATAAGCTTAGTTTTTTCCTAAAAACTGTATTAAAGTTATTAATAAATGGAGAAAATAAAACACAAAATGAACCGCCAGACCTAGTAACCAACCGCAGAAAACAAACCGAAACCTCGGAATGTGACGCAACAGTACTCAAACAAACGATTGATTCAAATATAAATTTTTCATTTTCAGCAACAGACCAAAGGCCTGTGCTCATTCTTTAACCCGAATCTTATTTACTTAGCATTCACGTGTGCAGTAAATTGGCTTTACGGTTATGGCTTCTCTCGGAAGTAGGTCTCGAGAGGTTACAATATGATGTATGAATCCTTGATAAGCACTGCCTCTTGCCGTTTCAAAGGACAGTTTTGTGTTGTTGATTCGAGAGACGGGCCTACCAAATGGAGGTGGACGCGGTTGAAGTATGATTCAACTGAGAAAGTAACAATATCAAGGAGACAAACTGTATGCCAATATAACCGTTCCGAATTTCTGAGAAAATACCTAACATAAATTGTTTATGCAAACAAATATTGTTTTACAATTTTTCATAGTCTCACATAATCCATATGGCTATCATAGGTTGTGAAATAGTTTTTTTTAATTTAACCTTAAATTCTCATGCCTTTTCACTTTCCCTGTTTGCTTGATACACTGATGATCACCGAGCAGTAATCTGCTGCATACACTAAGTTATCGGTCCCGATTTTAGTACAAATATATTCCGGTCCGCCAAAAATGCCTGACTAACAATAACATATAGAGTTTTCCTACTCTGTCCATAATACTGTAGTGGTTTACTTTTACGAAGAAAACAAAACTGCTGAAATATAAAGATTTATTGTTGTACTTAATTCTGACAATAATTTTTATACTGTACACCTATTGTTTATCTGTACAAAAGACTAGCTCTCACACTTCTAGCTTGTTACTCCTATTCTCCTCTTCGCACGTCTCCTGCGTGGACGTCAGCTTTTTGTACGCCCTCTTGCCTTGATATTATTTCGATATCACGAGGCCAGTATCAAATATACTTCTTCCTCTAGAATCTGTTTATTTCTTGATTCTCTGAGTCAGTTGAGTAACATTTGTTCTCCCGCGAAGACGTATATCGTACTAATTGCTATAGTGGTGAGCTGAAAATTCGAATACGCAGTAATTACGGTGAGTCTGTCATTTTCTGTCCCATTTTCTTACTATTTTAACTGCTGTTTTATGTATATTGATATTGATATTTTCATGTATAGATAAATATTATAACTACAACAGCGTCTGAAAATGGTAGATAGACCCAAAAATGACGATATTTTAGCCGACTCACAGATACAATTTCTAAGTTTTCGACCTGTGGCCTTTATCCTCCATGACCCAGAGGTCTGGTTTGCGGCACTGAAATCTCTACCGGTGGATCACATAGCTGCCGTTCGTGAGGTTGTCCTCAACTCAGGTGTAACGGACGTACACGATCGCCTCAAGCGGGCGACTCTTCGACATTTCCTCCCATCGAGGGAGGAACGTCTGAGCACACTTTTGGCGCGTCACCTCTGGGTGATGCTAAACCTAGCCACCATCTTCACGCGCCAGCATTCATTGGCACGACCGACGGCATCCGACTCTGACATCGTTAAAGAACCGTGGGTAGAGTCACTAACAGACCATGTTCAGCCTTCAGTTGCTGCTCTGCCAGGTGACATGCCGCTTACCCAGGTTGCACTCGTGGCAGACAGAGTTATCCCGCGAACTGGCAACCGAGACAACTATACAGTTGCGTGTACGTCACATACCAACGTAGACCTCGATGCCAATCACGTTAAGGCTGAGATCGATAGGAGTTGCTGCATTCACAGCCGTCTTAATTTTCGAGATCGTTCAGCTGTACCTGAACCCCACGTCCAACTGGCCCGCCTGCGATCAATAATGGCTGCAGGTACTCGCCCCCAGTGGGCATCTTCCAAGCCACTCCACAAGGCGGCTTCGGAAGCGAGTTCCGGCTGATGCTGGTTCCACAACACTTTTAAGTCTGGCGCCGGTCACTGTCGAGCCCCCTGCCCATACAAGGCAGGAATATTCAAAGCCGACGAGCAAACGCGGCCGTACTTGTCGGCTCCTCAACTCAGGCTGGCCGCCTATTTTACGTGCACGACATCCAGACTAACGCTAGGTACCTTTTTGACATAGGTGCCCAAGTTTCGATCGTACCATTGGGTAGCAACAAGCCTCAAACTATGATGCTTCGATTACGCGCTGCGAAAGCCTCTGTCATTCCTACCTATGACACAGGACAGCTGTCGGTCAACCTGAGCAACCGGCGAAAGTATCCGTGGATTTTCATAATTGCTGATGTTCCTACAGCCAAATTCGGTATCGATTTCCGACAGCACTATGAACCGCTAGTCGACATACGTAGGCCGGAGCTAATCGATACTTCGCCGAACAGTGAATTTACAGGCTTTCGAGCCCAAACAGGTGCATACCGAAATACAGTGGTATTTCATTCGCGCGATGACATTTTCCAAGTTCTCTTCGAAAAATTCCCCAAGCTAACTAAACCGTTCGAGGAGAATCCATCGGTGTGTTACGGGAGAAATGAAGACATTTGGCTGATCAAAACCTTTATATAAATACCATTAATTTCACTGTGTTTTTTGGGCATATTTGTTTTACTTAACTTATGAACTTGTTTGATTTATCATTTTCGGTCATTTTGATTTCTGTTTGTCTTGGTTTGGTCATTTGGAGTTTTTGCTCCAGGAACCTATAAAATTGAAGGTCTTCGCAATTCACAAATAGTCGACCAAAATGTCGTTTTAACAACAATAAATATAATAACTACAAATACCTTCAATGTTATAGGTTCCTGGGGCAGAAACTCCAAATGACCAAACCAAGACAAACAGAAATCAAAATGGCCGAAAATGATAAATCAAACAAGTTCATAAGTTAAGTAAAACAAATATGCCCAAAAAACACAGTGAAATTAATGGTATTTATATAAAGGTTTTGATCAGCCAAATGTCTTCATTTCTCCCGTAACACACCGATGGATTCTCCTCGAACGGTTTAGTTAGCTGGAGGAATTTTTCGAGGAGAACGTGGAAAATGTCTGAACCCACCTTTTGTGAGGAGTAAACCAAGGGTTTTTGCAAGCTCGATTGCATCCTGCATATTATCAATTGAAGTTAAATAGTCGTCGACATAAAAACTCTTATCTAAAACAGGCCTATGTTTCTGAAACGGAACATGAAGAACAACAAGTGAGTTTATCGGTTTCGAATTGCGATACTAATGCTGTTCTTTCATGTAGTGAGATGAGTTATAAAACAATGGAAGAGTTTCACTATACGGATGCCAGAGTAGCCACAAACAACATGACTTGTCTGACAGAACGGAATCATGTTGACGATGATAATAATCTTGATGTCACTGATTTGACGAATGAGTTGTCGACGATGACGATTGCTGATCAAACCTCCTCTGTATCAGGAGATGGAGAGTTGAATATTGTTCCTTTGTTATGCCACTTAGAGTCTTCGGGAGACGAGGAAATGCACAATTGGAGATCCCACGCTTGCATATAATCTATGGGCCAAGAGCTTCTGTTGATAAGTCAGCATCACGGGCTTTATCGTATCTGCTGTTCGGATCAAGTGGTGGTGGATTGTCGATTCATCCTTATGATGTGGAGAGTAAATCCAGAATAAGGTGTGACCAACTTTACGATGTG